AAAAAAAAAAAAAAAAAAAAAAGTTTAAAGTTGTTCGTTGCGAAGTGTGAGGAAATTGTGCAGGGGGGGAAAATTCATTTAAAGGGAGAGGACACATAAACATGCATGGACGTGTGTCTAGATGGACGTGTCTACATGGACTTCAACATTTTTTTTTTTTTACGTCACTACGTATATGTTTGTGTGTGTAATACCCTCCCCTGGTGACCTGCACAATAAACGAACGGAGGCTGCTTGTGAGATGAGCCGGCAAACGAAAAAAAAAAATAATAAAATGAAAAAAAAAAAAACTTGTGATGCGCGGAGGAAGATACGAAAAAAAAAAAATTACACAGCGGGGCTTACATATATGTACAGTGCTGTGTAAATAAAAAAGGAAATCTGTCCTTTGGGTTTCTTCCCTTCGAGGAAAGGTATACACTTGGGTGTGTGTGGATGATGCATACACATGCGCGCAAGGGGGAGAAGTAATGGTCACCGGGGTTGGAGACCCACATAAGGAGCGGTGGGACAGCTGCGATTGGGAGGTAGATTCGCGCGCGTTGCGCTGCTACCGCTGATCCCTCCGCTGCTGCCTTTGCTCCTTGTGCTAATGGAGAACTCATCCCCGCTTGAACGCTAGCAGGTGGCCCGGCGGCAGCTCGAGTGGAGGGCCACGTAAAAGCTTTCGATGGACTTCCACAACAAGTAGAGGTGGTAGTTTCTACCGGGCGGGAAAAAAACATTCTGCGGGAGGAAATTCATGTCCTCGTCTCTCCATATCTTTACTTTCATTTTTTGTAAGTCATTAAAAAAAAGTAGGTCGTCAAACGTGAGCTTCTCCCCAGGAGAATGTCCTGCTGTCCTGTAGTTCTTCCTTCTCCTATCCTCATCGTTTATTCGTCTTTCTAATTCTTCATTGCAAAAGTGCACAAACTTGGACAAGTACTCTTCGTAATCCGCATCGGTGCACCAGTTGTTACCAGCGAACATCATGTTGGTGGGTCCGTTGGTACTGCTCGTTTGGGTTTTGCTTCCTTGCGTGCTTAGCTTCTCTCCGTGGTTATCGTATGTGAATTTGTTAAATAAGGCGGAGTCCAATACTTCGAAGAGGGCACTGTTCATGGTGTGACTGTGTTCTCGGTGGAGGTGGTTTTGTGTGAGACCCTTCATTTGCACCGAGTGCACTATCTCATCTATGTCGGCGCAGTTGAACAAGGTCGTGAGGACGGACAGGGCTAACGTGTCGATGGGGACGAGCGACGTACCGAGACAGTCCCCATCTCGCATTTCACAATTTTCGTTAATCCTGGTACCCCGTGCGTTGGATCCTGACCTGTCCTCCACGCCCCTCTTCCTCAGCGACTTCAACAAGTGTTCGTACTTATCAGTAGCCCCTGGGTGTAGAGCGTTGAAGTAGCTGCTGAATTTGTTCCTGAAGGGAGCGTAGTCCAGGGGGGACGATGGCAACGGCGTTGTTGGGGTGTGGGGTGAGCCTCCCTGCATGGGTAGGTGGTGCTTAACGGTTGCGGCTGCCGCCCCTCTCGTGTACTTGGCCAAGTAAAACTCGAAGAGTCTTCTACGCGTGAACATATTAGGAAGGTGGAAGTGTATGACCTTGTCAAATCGCTTGGATCGCACGAGCGCAGAGTCTAGCATCTTGTAGCGGTTGGTGGCCCCGATGAAGAGGATAAATTTTCCCGCCCGGTATTTCCTCAAGTTGAAAAGTTCCTCCACCTCTTGAAGCGTGAGGTCGTTGTTGAGGTAGTACTGCATAATTTCGTAGCCGTCCCGTTCTCGCGTAGAAGGGCGATGGGCAGTGGTGTGTCCCTTTACATGATCGGTGTCTTCACATTCATTGCGCCCCTGTTCAGACTCCGCTTCTGGTGCGACGATCTCCATGAATGTTTTCCTGATGGTAGAAAAAAGGCCTCCTTTATCCCTACGGCGGGATGCCATAAGGACTTGCTCCCGATTGTACTCATGCAACGAATCAATTTCAATTAGCAGCTGATTCAAGGTTTGTGTGTACTCATGGTTGACATTATTTCCCCCAGGGTTACTGTTCATGGATCTACTCAAGCCAATGCTATCAATCTCGTCAACGAAGAGAAGTACAGATCTGGAATTCCGTTTGGCTCTTCTAAAGTGGTTTCTTAATTTAGAAGCCCCATTGCCAATGTATAATTCTATGAAAGTCGATCCTGAAAGATGAATGAACTCCACATCGAGCTCTCTGGCAATAGCTTTAGCTAACAAACTCTTCCCTGTACCAGTTTCTCCTGTGAATAAAATGGTGTTGTAACCAGATAGGTTATAATCATTTTTAAACATACTTGAAAATAAAAGAAAAAATAAAACCCCTTTTATATCTTTCTTAGTTTTTTCGTTCAAAATAATATCATTTAACGAGTTCCCTTTGTTTGTGCTATGGGATGAGTAATCTGTATTGGTAAAGGGGGATGAAAGAGACAAATTCCTTTCATACAAATAATAAAAAGTTGCTAATGAAAGACTGTATGTTATTATATCGATTATATTTTTTTTAATAATTTCCATGAGGGACAACTTGAGCATTTTATCATCTAATTTTATCTGCACATGTTCATAACATTTATTTTTTAATAAAAATTTCATTATATAATCATTATAAAAAATGGTGTACACGTTATTTGTTTCTTCTTGTGTGGATGGAGGTGAACTGCTGCTCATTTTGTTTGAATTGAAAATGTTAATGTTAGTTCCTGTCTTGGGTAGAGTGGCTTTGCTTAAGATGTATGTGAATGTGTTGTTAGAGGGGTTGAAAAGGATTGTCTTAACATTATTCTTTTGTACGTTGTGGAAGAAGTGATTGTAATCTTTCGAGACAGCTGCGTTCGCCGTACCCCATGGGGACAGGAAGGTGTTATTGAAGTACTTGGTTACGTTAAGGTAGCAATTATTTATGTAGGCTGCTACTCGCCCCTTCATTTTGTAATAGAGGTAGGCACACGACACTACGCTCAGTGGGATTAGCCAGTAGGACTTGTTATTTTTAAGTGCTTCAAATAGCGGGTACAGGTAATTTTTAGCAAAATTGTCGCAGTTGTTTTGGAGGATGTCCTGGGCCCTGCGTCGACTCGCCGCGTCTCTCGTTAGCGGCGCGTCTGTCTTGAGCGGCCTTTCTGTCGCGTCTCTCTTGTTTGCCTCTGCTGCCGCCTCTTCCACTTCTACCACTTCTGCCGCTTCTGCCACTTCTTCCACTTCTGCTGCTTCTCTCTTGTGTGCGTTTGGCCCCTCCGGTTCAATTGGTTCATTTTTGGCCTCTTCAGTTTGTTCGTCACCGTTGCGTGAATCTTCATCATCCCCTTTACACTCTACTGGGTCCTCCTCCTTATACTCAATCGGGTCCTCCTCTTTAAACTGAATCGGGTCGTCCTCTTTATCCTCTATGGGGTCCTCCACTTTACCATCTACCGGATCCTCCTCTTTAAACTCAACCGAGTCATCCCCTGTACCATCTAGCGGGTCCCCCTCTTTACCATCTGTTGCATCCACATGGCCCAGCTCAAACTCCGCCTTCCTCTGCAAAATAATTGTGTAAAACATATTTTTAATAGCCAAGACGAAGAGGTAGCAGAAGAGGTACTCATTGGCCTCGACATGAGCAAAGTGTTTTTGCGTCTGCAGTATTTTTTTCAAGTGGAGGTATATCTCTCGCTCCCTGGGGGTGAAAATGGTATTTAGCATTTTGTGGTAGTAAGTCGATTTGCTCCTAGCGCTATATGATGAGACCTCGTCACTTGTACTGGCGCTGCTACTACTGCTGCTGTTTTCCTTCTTGCACATGAGCAGGGCTTCCTGCTTAATGAGTTCTGTCCTGGAGCTACTCATCCTGTGCATCTTCCCTTCTCCGTTTTCATGATCACTCAACGAGTGTGGTTGTGACTGAGCGTTCTTGTACAGGTGGCTCAGGTTGATGAGGTAGTCACTCATCACCTGCTCGATGTTAGTTTTGCGTTCGTTGCGTCCCTTCATCTTGGCGAAGCAACTTTTTTACACTTGCTTCACGCTGCTCTAAAACTTAGTGCACAAATTATTTTTTTTTTTTTTCTCTCTCTTTTGGTTCAGCATGGAGGGAGGGCTGAGACTCTACTCGGCATACTGCCCTGGAGCGGACGCACAACGCGGCGAACAACTCGACGCACACCTCCGTGTCTGCACTGGGTTTGTCCTTTTTCACCTGCACGCGCAGCCGAGTATGCCGCTTAAAACAGGTGGAGAAAAAAAAAAAAAAAAAAGGAGCCAAAAGACTAGGCAAAAACTAGGCGAAGAATTACACAAAAAAATGGAAAACCAAAAAAAAAAAAAATAAAAATAAAACCAAAAAAAACAAGGAAAACAAAAAAAAGGAGAAGCAAAAAGAGGCGAATGATCCACTCCTCGCAGGGTTCTCTTTTCCCCCTTGGATGGAGTTACACCCTTTTGCAAAATAAAAAAAAAAAAAACACAGTCTCTCCGCCGTCGTTTGGGGGAGCGTCGCCTCGAGCTCTATATACCACTTTAACACGTCGTACTTACTCGAGTGAGCTCGCGGAAAACTATTTCTACTTCTTATGACTAACAAAGCGTTACTTCATTGAGAAAAAAAAAATAAAAATAAAAACAATAAAAATAATAAAAATAATAAAATTAAAAAAATAAAAATTAAAAAACACAAATCTGCTAAATTACACAACTGTTAAAAAAGGGGAACAAAAACTCGTGAGAAGTTTCAAAGGAAAAAAAAAAAAAAAAAAAAATTCATTAAACAATTACCAAATGAACCACGCGCATAAATAACAAAAAAAAAATAAATAAAATAAATAAATAAATGAGTAAAAAAGAAATAGCTGGGCGGAAGAAGTGACGGGGGCTGCAAACGAGGACCTTTTTCACCTCCGAAAAGAAGCACAGAAAAATTGGGCCCTAAATTTACGCACGTGTAAAACGGCACAACGGTTGGTGTGCGGATGTTAGGGATCGCGTGTATGTGCACCGCTGCAGCGACGGCGTTGACTGGGCCACTTGGCGAATACGAACGGGGTGTGCCCACACAAGAAAAGGGCGGGGGGAGGAGGGCGTGGTGTTACTCTACACGGAAATAGGAACACATTTCTGCGCGCCACATGAGGGGAAACACTCCGTGGTGAACGTGCTGTTATATGGGGGAAGGGATAACAGATTATAATTCCCTTTCCCGCGCGGAGTCCACTGTTGTCACCGTTGCAGGCGTGAATGTAGTATGCGACGAGTACACTTAGTGACTGGTCACCTCTTTTTAATGCTCCTCCCCTATATACACACATGTAAGAATTTTTTTTTTTTTTTTTTTTTTTTTGCACCAAACGGGGAAACAGCTGCTACAGCCATTGCACACACACAAGGACGTCATTTATCATGCAGCAACGGATCTGCAACCCACGACAGCGCAGTGGTTACAACTGAATAGCACATTTATGTTTCCCCTTTTTTTTGTTTTTTTTTCTTCTTCAAACGAGAATTGAATGGGGTGAAAAAAAATGCTTCCTTATTGTACAGCCAAATAATTTTTTTTTTTTTTTTTTTTTTTTTTCGCCAACTTGCAATTAAACCTACATGGCTTCTACACCTTTTAAAGCACAGAATGGTTTTCCTTTTTTTTTTTTTTTTCCTCCTTCATGCACACTTTGGAGGGTGTGTTTTTTTCCCCCCCCCATTTCCCGTTCGCGCCGATTGCCATCCCCTCACTTCCCTGCTCACGTTCATATCAAGTACGAGCTGTCGGTGCTTACATTCTCCACGGAAGCGTCCGCGTCCTCTGACATGGAGAGAGTCACTTTAGATTCATCATCCTGTGAAAGGAGTTCCATTAAATTCTTCTGGCTCATGTTTCGGGTGACTCGTTTGGAGGCTGCGTCCTCTTCACCCACGACTTCCTCGTGTGATTTGGCTTTTGCCGTGGTACTCATTTTTGCGTCCTTCTTCTGAATAAGTTGCGTCTCCTTCGTTGGCTGCTGATAAGAGTCCTCGCGTTTGTTTGTATCCTTCGCATGAAGAGAGGTGGTCATATCCCCGGCAGGTTGCTGTGTGTCACCTCTCGCCCGCATGGCCTCCTCAGACTTGTTCCTTTTGCGCACGAGTTGGTACTCCATGATCTCCATTAACTTGTGTTGGTATTGGTGTGTGTCCGTTTTGTCGGCGCGCTTGGGCGGAGCCTCCTGCTCTTCCTCCTCATCGTCTTCTTCCTCCGCGTCTTCTTCTTCTTCCTCCTCATTTTCTCTGCCTTCTTCTTCTTCATCGTCCTCCTCCTCTTCCTCCTCTTCTTCTGCTCCGTCTTCTTCTTCTTCCCCTTCTGCTTCTTCTTCCCCTTCTGCTTCTTCTTCCTCTTCCTCTTCATCCTCGTCTTCGCCCTCATAATCGGCCTCCTCATCCTGAGCCGTGGTTTCAGCAGATTGGCCCGTGCGCGTGTTGTTCAGTTCTGCCTTTTGCGCCTTGCGTTTAATCAAGTCGTCCCGGTATTCAATTTTGCAGCTCATGGTGAAGGTAACAAAGAGGTCGGACAGTTTTTTCAACACGGGAAAATTATTCATATGGTTAAGTTTGTACTCAGTAGCTGCTTTGATCGCCTTTGCCAGAATTTCATCAGGCACAGTTTCTACATTTTGGTGGTGTGCCCATGTGTTAACATCTTCTTCTTCAAAATCTTCCAATTGCTCCGAGAAGTTTTCTACTTCCTTATCGGTGCAATTTTTCGTAGTGCACCTAGTGCATTCAATATTATCATGTGTCTCACAAAGAGTATTCATTTTATAATTAAAAAGTTTTTTAACATTTTCATCAGATAGTTGATCTTTCGACAAATTCGTATTAGTAACAATCATGGAGGACAACCCATCTTTACTGATTTGTCTCTGATACACTTTTTCATCAATTGTACCTGTACAAAAGAGTCTGTATATGTAGCAAATTTTTTTTTGTCCTTCTCTCCATACCCTTGCTAGAGCTTGCTTATCATTTGCAGGGTTCCAATCTGGGTCTAACAGAATCAAACGATTCGAACTGATCAGGTTGATACCACACCCACCAGATTTAGAAGAAAGAAGAAATATAAAAATATCAGATAAGTGTGTAAAGTCATTAATAATTTTGTGTCTTTTTTTTATACTGATTGCTCCATCTAATCGTACGAATTTGTAAAAATTTTCTCTACATAGTATTTCCATGAAGTCTAGGGTTTGTGTGTAATTGCTTACAATGACTACCTTGTCGGTGGTGTTTTTTTTTATTGTTTTGAGGAGGAAGTGAAGCAACTGGAACTTGCAGGACATGTTGTAGTAGGACCTTTGTGTGTCTCTTTTGCATTCCTCCAGGAGTTTCTTCACCGGTTTGTCGTAGTCCATCTCGACGGCTCTTCGGCGGTCCCGCTCCCGGTTGCCATCGCGGTTGCCATCCCGATCACCATCCCGGTGGCCACCCCCCCCCTGTGTGTTGCTTTCTACCGGGGGCTTCTCCTTCTCCGCTGCGCCACCTCCGCTGCGTGCATTCCCCTGTTTGTTCCCGCGCGCTGGCTTCTTCTCCTGTTCCTTCACCGCCTCCTCAATAAGCTTCGCGAGCGACACCTGCCCGACGTCCTTCATATCATTAGCATTAAGTAGCAGAGGGTGGTTGCAAATTTTCTCCAATTTTTTTATATTTATAAGTACATTGACCTTGTTTGTGCTCTGTTCATTTTTCAAAATCCTCTTGTCTTTTAAAAAGAGGACGTAGAGGGCTTCTTGAATGGGGTTGAGTTTAATGAAAATGTTAATGAGGTATTTTACAGGTAGCACTTTGGAGAGTAAATTGTTTGTCCTCCTGAGGATGAATTTATTTGTAATGGTAGATAGTTCTGCTAGTCGCTCTGAAGCAATTTGTTGTTCTTTCTCTGTTGCATCTTTGTCTCTTCCAATTAAAATAGGGTTAGCATATTTTTTCCTGAACAAATTGGTATCGTCAAATAGGTCCGGGTTGCACAATGAAATGAGAGCAAAGAATTCACTTAAATCGTTTTGTATTGGAGTACCAGAGAGGAGGAGTCTTTTTCGAGCAGTTAAATTATAAATGCTCATGTAGGTCTTTGTTTTGTCATTCTTCAACCGATGTGCTTCATCACATATAATCATATCTATTGAAGATTTGTCTAATGATTCATTGTTTATGCGGAAGCATTCGTATGAACATATGATCACTGTTGATTTGGGGTCATACTTGAAGCCTTCTAATTTGCTAACGATTTTTTCCTTTGCATTGTCATTAACACAAGTGACGTTGCATCTACCAGGTAGCCATTTATTTATTTCATCGTTCCAATTATTAATTAAGCTAGCTGGGCAAAGAATGAGGCATCTCCTAACAGCTGGTTTTTTATTAATGCCTTGCTTTAGGAGTGTGTATAAAACAGAAATACTTTGAAGTGTTTTTCCTAACCCCATATCATCTGCCAAAATACATCCACTTATCTTTTCATCCTTTAAATTCATTAAACACTCGAAAACGAAAGTGACTCCTTCTCGCTGGTGTTCTCTGAGGAACTGAGCTAAAATGGGATCAACTTGTATTTTGTTCTTTTCATCCTCGTATAAGATTAGTGGGACAAAGTCTTTTTTTATTTCGTTTTCCTTATTCTGTTCATTCATTTCTGCTTCATCTGATCTCCTTGGTATGCCGTTGGTCAGATTTATCCATCCTGTGCGCCTGACCTTTGCACCCAGAGTTTTTTTCACATAGAGGCTCTTGTCGCTTACGAACCCAGGCAGGGGGTTCTTGAAGGGATGGAACAGCGTCGTCTTTTCATTTTTGTCAATGCTCAGGATGGGCAGCAGCGTCGCGCGCACCAGCGTGATGCACGTCCTTTCGGGGCTGTCCTCCCGCCCGCGCTTCGTGTTCCCGGGGAACTTCCTCATGTGGGGGGAAGCGGCGTCTCGCTTGACAAAGCGGCACGCTGCAAAGAGCGTCTCACTGGAAGAAGCGGCACAGTGGGGCTGCTCCGAGATAACGCCTCTGTGCAGTGGACATGCACGCACACAAAAAAATAAATTGGCAACTGTGGGGACGGCGGTTACGTGGATGAGGGAAACGTCGTATGACCTACCGTGTGGCCGCCTTTTCCACCCGCGAGTCGGTGTGTACGTGCGAGGCAGCCAGTCGGCAAAACCTTTGTCAATCTCTTTCGGTGGGGAAAAAGAATAAACGCTGTCAGGTATTTCTCACTCGAGCGGGTAAAAGTAATAACAAGAAACGGAGTGGAAATTTTCCTTTATTTGTACAAATTTTGCGTAGGTGCAACAAGTGCATGGTTTCCTTCCCGTAAAAAAAAAAAAAAAATGTGGCGCTTTTGCTTTACTCCACCGTGTGGGAACTTGGTCTACCACGCGGTGCAGGCAGGCATTTGTCACAACACAGCTTGGCCATTTGCTCAAAAAACAAAAAAAAAAAAAAAAAAAAATTATGAGCTACGCTGCGCTACGATACGATACGACGCGATACACTACGACGATATGTGATGAAGGAAAAAACATCCTGAGGGAACCACATGCGGGGAATACTCCGAGTGACAGTCCAAATGGAGGCATCTCCTTTTTTAAGACTTTTGCTTCTTCATTTGGAGTGCAACCCTCGGCACACATACAGGTGGTCCAAAAAAAAAAAAAAAAAATAAATAAAATACAAGTGAACGGAAACGACTGCATACATTTTATGCTACCTTTACATGGGTAATTTTTTTCTGTTTTTTTTCCCCCATCTCGTATTTCTTCACCCACACCCCCGTTATGCTTCCTCCAAAATGAAAAAAACAAAATTCGAACGGGTCATACGTATGAAGGAGGATGAACTACGTGTGCAAATCCCTTTGTCGACTCCTTCGTTTTTACAACCTGGGGAAGACACCCACTGTGGATTTATTTCTTCCCCGTAAAAGGGCTAAACCGAACAAGTGGTAAAGACGAAAAGCAGCAACATGCAATTCTCAGCAGAGGTCAAATCTCAGTGAGGGGAAATTTCATTTGTAGTACAGCTGCAACACGTGTATGTTTCCGTCCACATCTCCACAAACCAATTTGTTATTCACATTTTGAAAATTCAGATCGGAGGAAGGAACATGTGTCTTCTTCCCGTACCGTTTGTACTGTTCCAAGACGGAGTCATATTTCTCCTTGTCGATGTAGGAGCTCTCCAACATCATGTGCTTGTTAACGGTTACGTAGTAAGTAGGCCTTCCTATCGGTACCTTGCAGTAGGTGTTTTTGTATACATCCAGGTGTTGCTCATATTGAACGTTTTTATAAAAAATGGAGTTGTTTATTAGGTTGCTCTTTACAATGTCGTAGATGTGCAGGTCGTTGTGGTGCGTGCAGGAGAGGATGAACTTGTTTCGGTTGTCCAGTTTGATGTTCCTCCGGTGGCAGTTGTTCGAGTCGCCTCTGTACAGCCCGAGGAGGGTTCCTAAGGCGGGGGAGAGACAAATGAAGAATTGCAGTTGCGGCGTCACAAAGAGCTCCACTCACGAGGCCACTAACTGGTGCGCGTTTCCTTACCGCTGTTCTTCTCCACCAACTTGACGCTGTTGTCAATGGTCTTCACGCAAAAGTAGTTCCTGTCGCTCGTCACGTCGATGCTGAGGATGGAAGACTTCATGTCGTAAGTGAGCAGCTTCCCCATGCGCATGTCGTACACTCTGAGCCAGTTGTCAATGCTGCCCGTGTAGACTTCGTGTTCGTCCACAAAGATACTGCGGGGTGGGGAAGGGATCGTGTACGAGCGTGAGTTGGCTTAGCAAAGGTCGGCTTGTATATACTGTCACGTGGCTGGTCGGTGCGCATGCAAACGTTTTTTTGTACTAACTCTGAGATGGAGTCCCGCGCTTCACTGAAGACCTGCAAAGGGGTGTTCTTCTTCTTGTAGTCCCTCTCCCTAAAGTCGTACACATTGACCGAGTTACTTCTGCTGCAAAAGAGTAGCTTCTCATTCAGGCTGAGTTTGATTACATTAACCTTATCTGAGGGGGGGAGGAGAAGAAGAAACGTAGTTCAGTGGTGAGAAGCCTCTCGAGACAAGTGCGTTGTTGCTACTGCTCATGCGTGTCATTCACACGATCGTGTGGTGGGGAGACCCCCTGGGCTAATCGCTTACTAACCATTCACGAGCAGCCTATTTAAAACCTTGTTCGAGAGGGTGTCCCAAAGGTAAACGTGAGCGTCATTTCCTGCGGTGTGAAGGAGAGAAGCCAGTAAAAGAGTGGTCTGCAGGGAGGACAAATGTAGAGGGTGCCCCTCGACAGCAAATTGCGCTTCGTTGAGGCACGTTCATGGAGACCCACCCGCTGAGAAAAATTTCGTATTGTCCCTGAACAGGGCGACGTCGTTTATTCCCTTTTTGTGAACATCTGCAGAGGGGGGGGGGGGTGGAAGAGCGGTGCACCGTTTGGGGATAGACCATTTTGGGAGTCCATAAAGTGAAGGAGCGTCACTAATAGGGACATACATACAAAGGGAGCAGTGACGCACACGCAGCAATACCTTTGTAGGTGTTTATGTGTAACTGCTTGTTCACATTCCAAAGACAAACAGTGTTGTCCAAGCTTGAGCTGACGATGTAGTTCTCATCGTTGCTAAATACAATCTTCGTTACGCACGCTGTGTGTAGAGAAGGGCAGTAAAGGAGGAAAAAAGTAATATGTTTCGGGAAGCGCAACGTGGGCGGACGTAACAGAGCTCAGTCCTCTTTTATCCACCCGCATATGGAGAAGTGAGCGATGAAGTGAGCGATGAAGTGAGCAAGTAAGCGCGTATGTGCCAATATGGCGTGCACATTTGGAGACGCCACCTGCTCAACGCGAATAGCTCTCTCCTATAGTAACCTTTGTGGCCCGAAAGTTTTCCAACCGTTTTTACCGTGAGATCAATGTCCATAGTCGGGGGAGTCAACTTTTCTCACTCGAGTGACATGGTGAAAGGGATGGAGGAGGAGAAAAGTTCGATCGTCCCGCACAGATGAAGTGTATGTGCACAGGTTGTCGTTCTGCCTGACCAACGCATTTTTTTTTTATGAA